ATTGTTGTGCTAATCTAACATCCTCTGTAGATAAGTTATACTTATTTGGAATACTAAAAAAGAATATATAATATAGGAGAAAAATAAAATGAGCAGATTTTTCTTAAATCTAATAAAATTTGTTTCCACAGTAAAATTTGCGCCATGTGACGTATTTGTCATGTAAGTACGTGTCCATGCACGGCGAATTTACCTACTGTGTCTTTTGTCTGTTTAGATCTTCCGTCACTCATCGATTTTGCTTGTACGCTTTGTACTTTCACTCATCGAATTTGTTATGTTAATTTTAAATATAAATTTCAGGTGCATATCTCTCTAGTTGGGTCCGACAAAATGAGGATATCGTGGATAACCAAAGATTCAATCATACCAAGTGTTGTATATGGTACAGTCTCTGGAAAATACGAAAGTTCGGCTAATGGGACGAGTTCGTCGTACCACTACTTGAAGATTTATCAATCGGGCCAAATTCATGACGTGGTTATAGGCCCATTAAAGCCCAATACAGTTTACTATTACAAATGTGGAGGTCCAAATTCACCACAAGAGTTCAGCTTCAAGACTCCTCCTTCTCATTTCCCCATCAAATTCGCTGTGGCTGGTACTCATTCCAACTTTCCCTCATTCATCCAAATATAACTCTTTAGATTGTCATTTCTTAATCTACATATTATATATGCACGTATTGTTTTATAAGAATACAATGGCTAGTGGACCGATCGGACCAACCACCGATCCACGAGCAAACTTTCTAAGTTCGTGTATCTTGTGCAGTTAAGAAACTCAGTTCCAATTTCGATCTGTTATTTTTGTTGATAATCTTGAAAAAATTATTAAAATGAAGGTGACCTTGGGACAACTGAATGGACTAAATCAACATTGGAACATCTATCAAAATGGGATCATGACTTTTTTATCTTGCCTGGAGATCTCTCGTACGCTGACATGTTTCAACCTGTTTGGGACGTTTTTGGTCGCTTGGTGCAGCCACTTGCGAGCAAAAGACCATGGATGGTCACTCAAGGCAACCACGAAGTCGAACATATTCCTGTCCTCCACGATCAAAGCTTCACCGCCTTTAATCATAGGTACATTCTTTTAATCCATCCAAATAATCAATTCACTTAATTATGGTTTTGCCAAATGAAAATAAGTATTACGTTTTTTCTAAATATAGGGATTGTCACTTTAATTTTTTTTTAATAAAAACTAAGACTTGTTCACACATAGATTTACAAAATTGGTTTCAGGTTTGCTTTGTTTGTATAATTAAAAAATGGCAAACACATATATATTTTGGTTAGAAAAGATAAATTCTTATTGATTTGATGAAAAAAACATGTTAATGTTATGCTAGTTGCTAATTTTTTTTTTATCTAAACTTGGCAGGTGGCACATGCCATATGAAGAGAGTGGCTCGACCTCGAACTTGTACTATTCCTTCAACGTTTTCGGAGTCCACATTATAATGTTGGGGTCATACACAGATTTTGAGCCTGGCTCGTATCAGTACCAATGGTTAGAAAAGGATCTCCAAAACATCGATCGCAAGACCACACCATGGTTGATGGCTGTGATACACGCGCCGTGGTACAACACCAACGAAGCACACCAAGGAGAGAAAGAGAGTGTCAAAATGAAAGAATCCATGGAAACTCTTCTTTATAAAGCTCGTGTCGATTTGGTTTTCGCCGGTCACGTCCATGCTTACGAGCGTTTTGTAAGTCTAGAAGGTTTTGTAGTTTCATTTTTTTGGTTAAGAAAATATTAAATAATTATTTTGGATATGTTTGACAGAATCGGGTGTACCAAGATAAGTTCGATAAATGTGGCCCGGTTTATGTTAACATTGGTGATGGTGGCAATCAAGAAGGACTTGCTACCAAGTAAGATCTTCGTAAAATGCATTTTTTAAAATAAGTTAATGGTTTTAATGATGTTAATTTTATTAATGAATCATAGGTACCAAAATCCAAATCCGGAAATATCATTGTTTAGAGAAGCAAGTTTCGGGCATGGTCAACTAGAGGTTGTGAATGCGACTCATGCACGTTGGGAGTGGCAAAGGAACGACGATGATGTGTCGGTACAAAAGGATTCGGTTTGGTTAACCAGCCTCTTATCCGATTCATCTTGCAAGATTTAGACCGTCTCGTTCATGTTCTTGAATAATATTGTTAGTACTTGTGCCTCATCATGGATTCTATGTTAAACTTAATATCAATGTGGAGCGTAGAGCCGAAATATATTTAGTATTTTGAGTATTGACAACTATATCAAAATAGGACCCATAAAAATATTATAGAACTCATTAAATGTTCTAAATTGTTTTATTTTTCTTGGATTTTCAGATCCTTTATCACCTTTCTTCAACATGAAATTGATATGAATTTGGATGCTTTATTGAATTGTTAACGTCGATTTCCATCCACAAATAGATGTCAATACACAACACACATGACACATCCATTTGATAACCAATATCGTATCCAACTCGCTTTTCTCGAGAAAATACCAATCTAGTAGCTAGTGAAATCTTACTCGCAATGAAACAAAAAAATAAAGAAACTAGAAAAGCTAATGGAAAAGGTACCTTTGTCCTTATAATGGTCTCATGCATCGTTTCCACGTTTATTAGCTACATTTTTTCTTGAACGTAGTATATATAATCATATTTGGATTCAGACCACAACAGAATCGAAAGAATTAACTTGCATAAACTAAACGTAGATGGACAATTATATATAACCAACAACTTAGTTTAGATAATTATATAA